ACCACCACCACCTAACATTTCAGAAAACCATACCTCAATTCTTTCCACATTCCAATAAGAGTTAAAATGTCTTCGAATTTTCTTCTTCACTTATTACTTGCGTAATAGCTACAGTTTCTTTCCACTAAGATTAATCTTTGAAGACCTGCTCCATATTTCAGTGTCTCCCAAACGCTTCTCATTAGTAGTAGCAAGCATGGTAGGTCATGTTGAGAAATGGGTTAGATCTAAGTTTACGAGTCACTCCCTTATTTATAGCACTGACAAAAAAAAAAAAAAGTTGATCCTATTTATTGGGCACTTGAAAATTTTCAATACTACTCTTTATATTTTTTTCTTTATTAAATGCTTTAAATAAAAATATCAATAACGAGATTCAAGAATATTTATTAACGGTAAAAGTAAAAACTTGTTAAAATTTAAGATAAAATTAATAAAGTTTAAAATTTTTATTGAATTCGATAAAATATGTTGGACATTGACTTATAAATACGATCAGGAGGAGTATTAATATTTATCTTTAGGCCATAGACAGGGTCAAGGAGACACTGGCATACAAAAATAAGCTGAAGACATTGGAACTTGAATGCAGCGGTGCAAACAAGACTCGGAAGAGATAAATTTTGGGCCATGGATCGATGTAGCTCCATAATGTCAAAAGCATTAGTGTCCGCTTTATTCTCTTACCTTGTACTTTATTAAGCAAGGGTGAGCTCAAACTTTGTATCTGGAAATTGAAATTTGAAAAAATAAATAAATAAATAAATATGCTCATGAGTTATTTCTTAATGTTCATGAGTTTATCTAACAAAGGATCATTAATGTTTTTGTTAAAATATTCGAAATGTTTATGTTTAAAATACTTAATTCAATTTTCTCATGTATAGTCCATGCAGTGCATGGGAGCCAGTCTATTATATCCACAGGATAAGATAATTTATAATTTGATAAAAACATATTCAAAAAAATCTTTGGCAGTTTAATAAGACAACTTTATTATGGATGATCTAGTAAATGATTTAAGTCGTATATTTTTGTCTACTCTTAAAAGTGAATATATATCTACACAAAACTTTATTTTATCTAACAAGACAGCATTATATATTACTTAAATTGAAATTTTGTAAATGTTGTAATCTATGTTATTCCTTACAATTTTCTTAAATCAAATTCGTGCAACGCACGAGATCCAAGCTGGTTTTCCTTTAGAGTTATACATGGCACTTGATCTCTTGGCCTTAATTAATTCGTCCATACTGATTGAAGTGTGGCGGCTCATTAATTGGATTTGAGACAATAACATTCAAGGACACATGCACGTGACCATTTGTTATTTTTATTACAAAAGAGAGTTTATATTCTTACGATCAATTGAAGGGTTAGAGATATACCCTCCATCACTCTTCATAAGAGAGCTTCTAGAACCACTCTCTGGTCCACAATGCAAGAGATTTTATCAAATTTTCTAACATTTGAACCAATTATAAAAATAACTAGTAATCATGCTTTCGAAATGAGTCTTCTAGTAAATAGGGATAAAATGGATTATTGAACCACTTTGATATACTTCTTTGGTTCAAAATATAAGTATTTTCTTCTAACTAATTTTGGTTCAAAACATAAACAATATAGTATTTGTTAAAAAAAATCTCATTTGTTACCTTTCATTTATTAACTTGGATTATTGTGTTTGTGAATTTATAACCTTCTTCTCATTCATCATAAATTAGAATTAAGAGAAAAACAGAAAAAAAATATTTTCATGAAAATAAAAATTTTATTGATATGCATATTATTATTAAAAAAAAATACTTATATTTTAAATTAGAGGGAGTAACTTTTAACCAAGTAACTAATTTTTATTGACATACCTAAACTAGTTGAAAATACTTTATAAAAAGGAACGGAGAGAGTATATATGATAAATTATTTTTTTGAGGTAATTTCATGTATTTGCTTTGTCATCACCCCTTTTTATTCTTCTGCTTAGTTAATGCCAGCGTATACTTTGCAAAGCACAATTTAGAAACATATGTTATTGATACAAAACCACTTATTAATCTTACTATATTGAAGTTTTTAGTTTGATAAAAGTTCATTTAATTAGAAATTAATTTCACAAAAAATTATTTATCAAAGTCTATTACGTTTTGATACATTTTTTAAAATCAATTTAGTATATTAAAAGTTATTTGAAACTACTAAAAAAGATATAAGTTTTATGATTTATAATTTTTGTAATATAAAACTTTATTTTTTGAAAAAGTATATAAATAATATAAAATTTGATATGATGAATAATAATTATATGTATATTTGTATAAAAAAGAAAATTTGAATATATATTTGAATAAAAAGTATATACCATACATAGTTTATATGGCTAAAATACATAAAACCCCCCTAAATTTAGAGACAGTTACATATAACCTTTCTTACTTTTAAAAATTTAAAATTAATCCCCTTAACTTTTAATTTTTTTTCAAAACCCCCTATTTTTAATTATCTTATTTTTTTATGAGGGTTAAAATTTTATTTATTCTTTGTTTAATATTTAAATATTTTAGCCATGTGCATTACATTAATCTAACATCAAAAATAAATAAAAATTTATCTTTTAAAACAATAACATCATGCACCATTGATAACAAAAAAGCATGGATAAAACTAATATAACCATGAATATTTATTTGACATTTATTCTTTGTTTAGAATAATTAATAAATTACAGGCCGTGTTCAAAATAATTGATAATGTGTTGAACAAGGCCAGGATATGTTCTTTTCATGATTCTATGAGGAATTAGAGGGAAGTATGGGAATTTAGGAATTTTAATTGCTTCATCAAATGCTTATTGACTTTCAGCAAATGCAAGAACTTTCTGCAAATGCTTTTAAGATAATAACTTTCATGACCTTCAGATTATATATACAAATGGTTGTTAACTATCTAGCTAAATTAGCTTATAATATTCCTTGTGATTTTAATTTGTTTCACAAACTTCGTCATTAGGTTTGTTTATATTTCCTTGAGAGGTCTTTTTGTGTTTTCTCTTTGTTTGTTGCTACTTCTTAGTTTGTACCTGCTTACATTCTTGTGAATGAAGTTTCCTAGTTATATTCAAAAGAAATATTATAAATGGAAATGGGATACAGCTTTAGTGATGTAGAGAAAGCCATTATGACCAATTTTTTGAACCCACTTTGTATATTTAAGCGTAACGTACAAATTTTAACCAGCCACGCTATTCATAAATCATATATAGCGTACACGAGACCCATACAAGTTTGCTTAAAAGCCATAGGAAGGAGGTTATAAACATTCTTAATTTCTCTCCTTTATGCACCTTAACATTTGCTAACAATACGCCGAACAAGCTTAAATTCAAATCAACTCAAGGTAAGTTCCGTCCTCTTTCCAATAAAACTATATTTTATGGGTATGCAATGCATGAGACATTAACTCTCAATTATAATATAAAGAAATAGAGAGGATATAAGATTTTAATGAGTTTAATTACTAAAAAAGTTGAAATTTTTAAATATAAATAAAATGCGAAAGAAAGTATAAATAAAATTATTTAAAAATTTTAAACCTTTGCTATATTTTATAATGGGTTAAGGCACAATTTTTTTTTTATATATAGATAAAGCAAAACCATAGGCAAGTTAGTATATCTTATTCCTCCTTCTTTCTCTATCTCTTGTCAGTATGTTCTGTAGCTCATTTGGTGTAGTTGATATGGTAGAACCCATGCACAACAGATAATCCTTTCTTAGCCAAGAGATCCGCTACTCAATTGCCTCCCTATGCACATGTCTCGTAACAACTTCCCAATCACGAGCTATTAGAGTTTTAGCCTCAATGATTGTACCAACATCCGAATGATTATCATTAATTTTCATGTCCAGTAAAAATATTACTTTAGAAGAATCAAATTCCAAAATAACATGCCAATAGCTGGTGTCCAAAGCAATCTTTAACCTATGTACACAAGCCCATGGCTCTACAGTCAGGTTATCTCCTCCATCCAATCTGTGAATGAAGCGAATAATGAAGTTCCCATCAAATCCTTTGATAAGTCCATCGCACGCACCCACCTATGAAGTATAAGCATTGACACCATCTATATTTACCTTGACCTATCATTCCTCGGTGCTACCCATCTCATATCTTCCTTTGTTCTAGGTAGCATACTATTTATATTGCGCAATAAGGAAGTCTAGGCTTTCCTCATGGACCTCATCATTGCATAGGAACTTCCAATAATTGTCTTATTGCTAACTTTTTTCTGTTCAAATACAAAGAGGTTCCATCTCTTCCATATCCACCAATTAACCACACCAAAGAAGGCACTCCACTGGCTCCTCATCCCATGTTGGTTAGAGAGATTCCACCACAGCCATCCTGTGAGCTCCATATCTTTAAATTGTCTCCAAACCAATGGATGGATCACACTCATCCACAACAATTCAATTTGTTGACAATCACAAAGCACGTGGAGTGAAGTTTCAGGTTCCATGTGACAACATGAGCATATATCACTCGTACTCATCCCACGCTAACATCCACGCTAACATTGGTAAGAAATCTTTGAATTTTACCAATTTTATCCTTGAATTTTTTTTTGAGTAACAATTTTACCCCTATACTTATAAGCAAGATAATTTTATCTCCAAACTATTTTTTCGAATAGCCAAAAAACCCTTCTATAAAAATGTCTAGCACTTCTCAAAAAGATAATTCAAAGTAAAATGATTCCACTTAAAAATACAAGAGTAAAATTGCTCCTCAAGAAAAAATTTAATAGTAAAAATACACCTTAAATCTTTTTATAATTTGTTAGAAATCAGCCCAAGACAGGTTCCATCCTCTCTTTCCATTAAAATTTGCAGGGAATGAACATGATCTTGCAAATCACCTAGCAAAATCATTTACCATCCAAGAAATTTTAATTAAATTATGAATGTAAAAGACAGTCTCTGTTGCTTACAAACAAGTAAACGTTAAAGGAGCTTGTGTCAATAACCTTGATCACAATCCCTCGAAATACAACATCAATTTGTATCACCATGCAAGTCCTTGCCAATTATGTTCCAGAAGCTAAAATTACACTCTATATATGCAAATATATATCAAGACTCATCATCTTAATTGACCTACAATTTTACACTGGATGATTACAAACTACGATACCAGTTACTAGCCGCATAGAGGAAGATGCAGAAGCTAAACCTACTTGCATACAGGAGGATACAGATGCTATAAGACTCCCTCGGCCTCAGACAAAAAATCTTTATATTACATTACAGAATAGTTGACGATCTTGACATATACATACATATATATATATATATATATACCATTGTATGTCCTTACATATCCATGTCAGCAAATATTTCTCCATCTTCCTCGTACTGTGTCTCATCCATAAGGAACCCATCAGCTACCAAATTACTGCCAAAGACGACAACAAAAAAAGCTAAGGATGAATATTGTTATGACCCAAAAAACCCGATGTCATGAAAATGAACTCCGAATAAACCCACCTATAACAGCCAAAACGGAAAGTCACTATCCTCTTAAGCTTCCTATTGTAGAAAAAGAAATTAAAGGACCATCTGAAGAACCATCAAAACACCTTATAAGGATAGTTTGCTAGTGAAAACAAGTGACCATAACGTATAAAACTTTTTAAATCCATGTGACGATGACGGTGGAAAAAAATATTACATTGCCCCTCTTTCTAGTAACGGATCCGCTTCAGAATCTGGGTCGTAACTATATATTTCGCAATCTGATAACTTCACCACCTACATCAAAAGGTATAATCAGCAAAATGGCACTTGTTGTCCCTAGAGTTGACTCTAAGGAAGACTCACCTCATCCAGGGCCCTGTACAGAGTGTCTAGCAGAGAAACACCCCCATTGGTTTCAAGCCATTCCTACAGTAGACAAGCCAAGCAAAATTAGAGATAAGTGCAGCACGTTGGGGCAAAAACCAACCATAAATACCCAATAACAACTAAAAAGCCCAGCATTTTCTGCATAACCAAAGGAATCCAACGGAAAATGAGATTACCAGTATGCCTCTCATCGCCATGCATAACAACATAAGCAATTGTGGTTCTATAAGTCAACAACGATGTAAGACAAAACATATCTTACCAGCATACTACAGTAAGTAATTATAAGAGGCTTGAGAAGCAATAATGATCTAAATTAGATATATAGAATATATTCATTTTATACACCAAGTAGACCATCAAATGGCAAATGGCACTGAGCCTTTTGGATAGAGAGGATTGGGAAGGAAGGTTTCACAGATATTTTGGCGATCAGGGCATTTTTCAAAATGAAGGGGAAGAGAATGGGAGAATTTCAATGAACTTCCCACAGTCTTCCCTCATTTATATTTCCAAGTTCTCCCACTTTGGAAAAAAGCATGCCCCGTTCAGTATGCAGCATTTTTCAGTATAATTTAGATGCAGAAATGAAATCCCGATAATATCCATTTTTGGTTGGATCTTATCACATTCAACTTTCATTCCATTTTGGTACTGGAGATTCTCTCATTCAAAGGAATCAACATTGCATCCAGAAGATGATAGGACAGCTGGTACTCAAGAAAAGTGTTGATTAAATAAAGAAACCTCCTTAAAATATGGCTTGGAGATCACATGTTTAGCAAAATAAAAAATAAAATTTTTGTTCCAAGAGTATTTAAGTATTTGTATAAATATCTTAATATTTTATAAGAGTATTTAAAAAATTTGTATCAATAAAAACGTAAATACAAATATTGAAAACATTTTTTAATAGAATTTTAAAAAATTAACTGATTAAAATAAAAAATGAATATTTTAAGATTTGTAGATATTGAGAGTATCATGATAATTTTTTTAGTTTGTAATTCCATCAAATGCCAAACATGACTATGGATTTCAAAAATTATGTTCCATCAAAATCATTTATCCTCCTACTTGCATTTTCATTCCCAAAAAGAATCATATCTTAAATCAATCGGTACCTTCAAGGAAAAATAATTACTTATAATTATAATATCATTCAATATTTTATTACAACATCATAAAAATAATTATTTCTTCTCACTTATTTAACATCTCACTTTCCATTACTTTTTCCACATTAAGTTTATAGCATCTAAACAAGGGGAAGAAGAATTACAATTTAACCCTCATTTCAATCAGCCTGCCTTTCTTTTTCTTTAATTCCTTCAGTTCCCCTCCCTATTCTCAACCATAACTTTGGGCATAATATGATCCCTTTCCCTTGGTCAAAATGCAAACATTATAGAACTGAAATTCACATAAGAAAGAGTCCCTTTTAGTAGGAGCACCTTTGAGGCTTCAAGCATGTAGGTATCGAAAATCTGTTTAAAACTGTCCCACGATTCCTCTGCGAAGTATTGGTGAGCTTTAACTGCACTATAAACCATTAAAGGAGTAGGAATATGCTATTATGGGAAGTAAATGGAATATACCACCGGAACATTAAATAAAACTTGAGGCAACAGCAACCAGCTAGATAAATGACCGGAGCAATACTTGGGAAATGGAGAGACTTGAACTCTCAGCTACAAGAGCAACAGTTTTATGAACTGTCTGTCAAACCTTTTGACAACACTCCCAATGCAATCAAAAGGGGATTATATAGTGGGTTGCCATGTCGCCATATAAGCTGACAATACCATTACCCATAATCCTCCTTTTCACTCAACATATAAAGCATCTCTGATACAGCATAAGATACTAAGATACCTGAATTCATAATCTGGATACATGTGATAAAGGGTAAGGACCAAGTAGACCAATGTCCTCCGGCTGGAACAAACAAATGTGAGATAAACATGTTATACAAACTTCTGAAATTATTTTTCCCTTTCCAAAATCTATCTAGGAACAATTGGCCACCTGGATCTGCTAGATATGCAATCAGGCGATGAAGAAGAGTCAGTGTCAGATGACTTCCCAAGATAGTCAGCAATCTGAAATTTAAATATTTAAATAAGTAAATTACAGCATAAAAAATTATTCAATGAACACCAAGTATTATAATAGGACAGACTATAATAAGAAATCCAAGAACATCAATTCTGCAAGTCAAAAATTCGCTATCTAAGACAGAATAAAAAAGAACATAGCAACAGTGAAAGTTAGCTTGAAAAAAATGTCCAAGGCACTAAAAATACTCCCAACAATTATATATTTGCGATACACCAAGTCACTATCAACTGCAACAACATTTTACAAGGCGAAATTTACTGAGATTAAAACTGCAACATGGAATAGCCTCCCAGCCAATTTACCTCGGTGTCCAGACTTAGAGACAATCTGTGAGAGAGTTTTTTGTCAGCTCCAGCGTGCTTGCCTAAGAAGCCAACGCCAAGTAAAATTTTTAATACCAATCCAACCAAAGTGAATACACAAAATAAAATCTTCTGACTGAAGTCGTCAATTTCTCCTCACACGTGTAAGCTTCAAGACATCCTTTGATAGTACGTTCTCCCATATCCAAATGACTTAAGAAATCGTTCAGCCTATAAATGTTAGAAAGATACTATTGAACACCAAATTTAATAAATAAATATCTATTCAAAATCCATCACAAATAAATTGATTTCATAATTTCTTAATTACCGATCTAGAGAAGCAAACTCTAGGAACTTCATGGCGAAATGTTTGAATGCAACACAATGGTTCAAATATGACTGGTGCAAACAGCAGAAAGAACCCCAGTCTTCCCGTCTTCCTAGGAGAAAACCAATCAACCAATAATAAATAAAAATTAGAGCATTTCCAAACATAAAATCCCACTGAACATCGTAAATACAGAAAAGCGAAACATAATACAGACATATGAAGTTATAAAGCACCGGAAGAAGCACGAATACAAACTCACCTTCTTCATAAGAACATTTGGAAGCCAAACACGTAATAATAAAAGAAATACAATCAACAAATTGGGAGAAGAAGGATAATTGAAGTACCTTGTGAAATAAAAAAAAAACAAAGATAGAACACGTAATCTTGCTTGATGCGAGAAGCTCCGAAGCGACAACTCACCGATTTGCGCAATTAGGGTTCGAAAATTTTGGGGATCGGAAGGAGCACAAGATTATGAAATACGCAGGTTGCAATTTGGTTCGAATTGAAAATTGTGGATGAGAGAGATTCATTTGCCTTTTATCATCGAAGTCAAAAATGGAAATGTCAATCAATGGCTGAACGAAAGCCTAGAAAGCCCGGCCCATTAGCTCATTAAACTCCCTTCTTGGGCCATATTCAGAATAAGAACAAATCAAATCTCAAAATTTAAAATCTTGCTGTGAGCTGGACTTAAAGGATATATTATAAAATACTCTTTCTATAGTCACTTTAAATACTCTTTCTGTTTTATATTATAAAACATTATTAAAAAAAATACTTCAAATATAAAATATTTTAATAAAAATAAAATTTTATTAATAATACATTTTTAATATTATCATTTTTATTATATTTTTTTTCAATATTCTTTTATAAATATAGTATTAAAATTAAAGGTGATTTTGGAAGTTTATATTTTCATCTTGAAAAAATAAAGTTATAATGTATATCTATATAATTTTTTTCAAAAATATTTTATAATCTAGGATGAAAGAAGTACTTGATAAGAGATCTCTATTTCCTTTTGAGGTTATACTTGAATTCGGACTAAGCTAAGCAAGGTTAAATCATCTGGTCTCGCATAAAAGAATCTGAACTAATCTAAACATTGAATAAATCCTCAAATTAAAAATTTCAATAGATGAAAATAAGTTTTTGGCTTACATACAATACCAAACGAAATTAAACCCACAACCTTTATGCCACTAAGATGTATCAAGTGCTGTTAGGGCCATATGACAATACAATTGACTAGAGATGCATTTTAATAATCATGAATACAGCAATATAAAATATATCTTTTGTAAAGAGTGACACCACCCGCAAGTCTTAAACATTTCAATTTCTTCGAGACTCTGCAAAATATGTTTTTTATTCTTGCAATGTTTTTCTGCTTACATTTCATTGAGTCATATGCAATTTTTATTTTTATTATTTTAATATTTTTAATTAAATTTAAATATTAAAATAATAAATATTTTTAAATTATTATTTCTCTCATGTACGAATTACGATATGAAAAAACTATCTAGTTTGTATACAAATTGTGAAATGAACCTAAAAAAAAAATAGCTTACATTGTAGTTATATAAGATAAGTATATCTAATAGAAATGCCCAAAAAAAAATGCACATTTATTTTCAGTTTGGCAAGTGTTTGTATGTCAAAAGTTCATTTATTAAAAGTCAATTATTATGATGAGATTTATATTTGACTATATTCTTTAAAAAAATAGTTTGATAAACTAAAAGCTATTTGGATGATATATATAATAAAAAAATACATTTAATTTTAATATATAATTACTTAAAATGACTTAAGTTTTATGATATATAATTGTTGCCATATAAAATTTGATTGGTTGAAAAAATGTATAAATAATATAAGTTTTGAAATATCAAAACATTATTACAACTCTACAAGTTATTTTTTGTGAAAGATCCTTTCTATAAAAATATATCATAAATATTGAATATCACCTATTTTTAAAAAAAATATGTTATACGTGCATGGGTATTTTACTAATTATAACTAAGAATTAAAGGTTATTTTACTCGTATACAAAAATTCACAAATAACTCTAAACTCAATTAAGAATCAATTTTATCTCTTAGCCTCATAATTTTACTCCCTCCATGCCCCTAATGTGAAACATTTGTTAGTGGGGCTCACTTTATTTTTTTTATTAATTTTTCACACTTCACCCCCCTCATACACCACTGTCCGCTCTCTCTTCCACACTCTCTCCCTCTCTCCTCCTCCTCCTTCTCGCTATCCTTCCTGTATATTTGATAGCCCTTGGTGTCCCTTCCTCTTCATGTATCTTCTCCATGCTCTCCTTCCCGTCCATCTCCTTCTCTCTTCTATTCGAGTCTTACTCCTGGCAACATGGATACAACATTGTGGACAGTACCGCACTTTCCCTCCAACCTACATGGGTGGTTGCTTATGTGTGCACGGAATGGGTTTGGATTCTCATCACAATGATAGTGCTCATCGCTATAATGAGATCTAGACCATCCAGATTTTGATCTGGATGGTCCAAATTTAAAGCATTATTATATATTATATTTATTAAAATAAAAATATATAAAAATTATAAAATAATTTTAATAAATTTTTATTTTTAATGTGATCTAAATTTAATTTAGAGTGTCTAATTTAATATTAAAATTTTTATAATTGATATATATTGACTATCCAAATAAACTTTGCACGAGCCAGATTAACACTAGATTAAATTTGAACAATGCAAAGTACATCTAGATAGTTAATATATAATAATAAAAATTTTAATATTAAATTAGACCCTCTAAATTAAATTTAGATCACATTAAAAATAAAAATATTATTAAAATTATTTTATAATTTTTTTTAAATTTTATTTTAATAAATATAAAAATAAAATATATAATAATCCTTTAAATCTGGATCATCCAAATCAAAATCTGGATGGTCTAAATTTCATCACAGTGATGAGCACCATGATGCTCATCTCGGGTCCGTGTGCCTACTTGGTTCTCGATCACTATTAGTTGCCTAATCAAGTTCCCCACAATTGCCAGATACATCTTCCTCTTTAATGTGACTGGAGATGATGAACTTGGAGATGGTGTTAGCGGCTTGATCACATCCATATAATACAACACATATATGACATGAATTTTTTTTGGCTATGAGGATCATCATTATCAATACCTTAATATTAATGGTGATGACATGCACAGCAACAACCACACTTCTATTGATTGTTCCTCTATCTCCAATGACCCTTCTCAAGACTCTAAAAGGGCCCTTAAGCTCCTTAGAGAGTGTGCCAAAGCCATCTTCGACAATGACTCCCTCGAAATCCACTATCTCTATCCAACTTTATGATTTGGACTATTGCCTCCAGTTTTAGTGAACCAAGGTCCTGTGTGGTATCTAGTGTGAATAAAGGAGAGAGAGTGTGTATGTATGTAGGAGAGAGGGAAGAAGGGAAAGTGAGAGGACAGATTGAGGTAGCAAGTGAAAGAAGCATATGTGGAGGTGGAGAAGGACATGACGTATGTGGTATTCATAGGGGATGGTGGCAATAAGACTTGCCGCATCACTAGAAACAAGAACTTCACCCTCTCCTCTCCTCCACTTTCTCTCTCCCCCTCCTCCCTCTCCCCCTCGTCGAAGCTTGCATGAAGAATCCATGGACACACACTTGAGCTCTCCATCAATAACCTTTAGAGGACACACACCCTATTCTTGCAAACTCGTACACTTGGGCTTCCCTATTTTTTCTATTAGAAATAAAGATACCAACTTATCTAAGTTTGTCAGTTTCTACTAGGTCCTACAAAATGCTTCCACATTGATAATCAATCTTGGTGAAAACTTGGAAGGGTTGGTGAAGAAGAAGTCTATACTTGCCATCTCAAGTCTTGGATTCTAGAATAAAGGTCACTATTGAGGTTGCTAGAAAACTTGCTTAATGGTTTGAAACTGTAGGGAGGAGGGAGATAGGGACTTGAAAAAGAGAGATAAAGAGGAGCTTCCCAGAGACTCTGAAGGGCAGATGGAGGGATTATGAGTAAAGAATGAGATTGATGATTGTTCCAAATAGTTTGCATGAACTTCTCTTTCTCTAAGCATTGTGTTTTAGTTGAATTTGCATTCTAGTTTTATAAAAAAAATTAAATATTGAATGGTGTAGGATTGGAGAGAGATTAAGAGAAGAGAGGGAGAAAAAATATTTAAAAAATTGAATGGTATGACCCACTTAAATATTTTATAACAAAAAAATATTAAAAAATTAAATGTGGACCACAATAATAGTCAAAATGGATGGACTTAACGGCAGGATTATAGAAATTAAATTCTTAGTGGTTGACAGGAAAAAATGACCTCAAGTAAAATTTATGGTCATTTATGTGCTTTCACATATATCTTAAGAGTAAAAATGACCTTTAACCATATAACTAAATAACATTAAGCTCTTTTGGGTATGCCAATAACCACTTGGTTCAATGACATTCCACATTTCCTTGAAAAATGGAGGTTGTTGGTTCTATTTTCAAATAGCTTGGGAAAATATTATTAGGTGTGTGTGTGATGTGGGTGTGCCCCCTCCCCTATGGGGAAGGGGTAGTTATGATAGTAAAAAAAAAATGCAAAAAAGGACTTTTGTCTTTTTGATCTTGAAGAGTTAACTCCAAACAAAATTTGTGAGTGTTTAGTTTTCTGTTGGCCAAAAGTCCATTTGTCAAAAATTCATTTGATAAAAATTAGAGTGATGAAAGCCAACTTTGTAATGAAATATGTATTTAAATATATTTTTTAAAAGTTAATTTGATAAACTAAAAGTTGTTTAAATTATATAGCGTGTGTTTGGATAGAAGAGAAAATTAATTTTTCAGCCCACAATCAATTTTTTGAATAAAATTACCCAAACACCAAAAATGCAAAAATTAATTGATAAGGCAAAACGCGCGTTAATCCATAATCTGTGAAAAACCAGCTTCAACTTAAAATCTTGTTATCGTTATTACATTATTCACGTGCTCTCTTTCTGTGAAAACCCATGTTGCCCTTCACGTGCTCTCTCTTTCTTCTTTCTGATCTCTCATTTGTCTCATTCGGTTTGCAGATCTCTCTCATTTTTGATCTCCTCTCTCGTTCGATCTTCACAGTCGGTCCTCACAATGGTGTCGTCTCTCTGCTGTCGTCCACCCACCCCTAACGTAGTCACTGTCCACCATCTCACAATCATGCCGTCTCTGCCGTCATCCACCCACCTCTAACAATTGTGCCGTCTCACAGTTGATTCTCATAAAGGCAACGATCTTCAGCTATCCGCGAACTTTATGCAGATCTGTGGTTCTCGTACTGTGCAACCCTTGTGGCATCGCCTCCTCTGTTTGCCTCCTCCGAGTTGTGTCCAGTGGTAATGATCTCCTGCCATAGTTAAAGAAGGCATTAAGCTTCATCTGCACTCTCTTGCCTTGATCTACTTGATCCATCGCCAATCTGCTCGTGGTCCTCTT